TTTTGACCTCGAAAAAGAACGTTTGGAAATCGAGAGAAAAAGACTCCAAATTGAGAGGAGCATTTGCAAGTGTCACAACAGTTGAATGTGAACATGCAAATGGTAATTGCCATTGCTTGCCAGCAACACAGTATTGCGTTGGTCCCTGAGGAGAGCTCTTCTTATAATGTACCAATTTCCAGACATTCTTTTTCTGTCATAAGTTTCCCTTTAATATATGTGTGCATTTCAAATACAGGGTGGGTTGAAAAGAAAGTGACCGAATTAGAATTGTTAAAAAAAAAAAAAAATCTCACTTGTATGTGAATGCCTCTGTGTAATCTGTAACTCTAACTCAGCTTGATAGCCATGAACAGCTTTAAAATAAGCATTAGTAAAACATGCATAACTCCTGATAGCAGCATGGATCAAGTGCTTTATTCCCTTGTGCAGATGTGCAAAAACATTTAAGACTTTTAAGACAGACTTCATTAGTGTGTCAAATTAGATTGCTCTTTAAGAAACAAGTCATTAAACCAGGTCACTTTCTTTCTGACTCCCCCAGTAAGAGTCAAATTCACACAGTTATAATTTTGTCCTTCATGTAAATGTAAAGACAGATATGCCTCTTTCACACCTTTCAATTTTCAGACTTTTTTAATTGACTTCATAATTTTATCCCTGCAGCTAAATTCATGTTACATTATGCAATGACAGAACAATCAGGCCACAATTTATTGTGTAGGTTGCCCAACATTTCAGTCATGACAATTTCAAGAAAGTTTCTTAGTGCGTAAGTCCATGGGTTGCTCAACAAATTTAGGCATGACACAAGTTATTTGAAGTGGCTTTCCTTGTGCTATTTTCAAGTTGCTGCACAATTCCATAGAAATTCAGATAAAGCTCTTTTAAAGTGGTGGGCAAAGGTGATTCATCTATAGGTACTGTTTCATGAATTACCAAAATCATTGACCAAAACATAACCTACTCTGAGTAAATCACCAAGTACAACAGGAAAAAACAATAACAAACACACTGATTGGTATAGTTTATTACCATATTTTATAGTCTGCAACTCTTCCAAAAAAGGGGGTGTCATTGCACATCAAATCCCCATTATATTAAACTTCACACAAAATTAATCAATCACAAAAATGTACACTGCCACCTCCATCCGTCATTAGAGCTATTTACAAAGGAAACCATATAATACATTGTATTATAAATAATAAATAATCCCACAAATATGTACACTGCCACCTCCATCCGCCTTTAGGGCTATTTACAAAGGACACCATATAATACATTGTATTATAAATAATAAATAATCACCAAATTGTACCCTGACACCTCCATCTGCCATTAGGGCTATTTACAAAAGAAAACATAAAATATAAATAATCACAAAAATGTACACTGCCACCTCCATCCGCCATCAGGGCTATTTACAATAAAGTCTGAAATTCTTATGAAATGTCTGAAAGATGCATATAATCCTCTTGAATTTTGAAAACTTGCAGTGCCTGATGGTTTACAAAAGGAATTGTTTTACCTGCAAAGGTACATTGCTTTTTTTGGGGAAGATCTATGTAAATTTATTTATTTTGGCATTACATTGCTACAGGCCCTTGGTGACCTTGAAACTGATTATTTCAAAAAGAAAGGCTTTTGGAGAATGAAGGAAGGTGAAGAACAGCGCAGGCTAGGATTACAGTGCTTGCCCTTCTGGGGCTTATCCTAAGCCCAATTACCAGGCACAAGAAGCGCCTCTTCAATTGGCCAAACATCTGTTTGACGATGACTCTGGTCCGCTTGAGCCTAGCGTTGTATCGTCGTTCCCCTCTGGTGTGTGGGTCGAGGTAAGGGGTCATTAACCACAGGCGTAGTGCATAGCCGGTGTCTCCGATTAACAATCCTGCAAGTCTGTAATAGTCAACTGCACCTACAACCCCTGAAAAAGACACAAAAATACTTGTGTAATGCAAACTACAATTTTGCAATTAACCTTGCATTCACTAGTAAGTTGTATTTTGTATGGACTTGCTATTAAAGCTGCACATATAATGTGTGGTGAGGATACACAATGTTAAGATAGATAACATAGTAGTAACTGACCAAAAGAAAAATACTGTGGTACCTAGGTCAAACTGAATGAATGTTATCCTGTATTTTGAATTCGACTGAAACAAAGTTGTAGAGGATTTTACCTGGGAAACCTGCCCTCGCAAAGAAATCATGCTTTGCTTGTGTTATCTCTCTTGCAGTGACAGGAAATGTTTTGTTTTCATTCAGCGTTTTGGCAAGTGCCCCTGACACAGGGTGGAGAATTGTACAAACTGATGGCACTGACACATCGTGTAGGTCTCCTTGCATAGAATAGAATGAGCCTGTCGCATAAAATCTCAATGCTGCCAGCACCTGATGAATTGGTGATATAGGATTACTCCTCTGTAAAAAATACCAAATGTGAAATACATGTAAATCCATTCATTTAAAAACTTTGATCATATATACATTGTACAGTATGTATAGTGTACCCAGTGAAAAGTCATCCTTGTTAATATTTCCCATTTAAATAGATGTTTTCTTTATATATAATATATTTCTTTAAACCAATCTCTTTCTCTTTTTATCCCTAGATTGTAAACAGGTTTTGTACATAATGATATTAGAAATAAAATACAGAATCAATGTTCCATCCATGTGGCCCTACATTTGTCTGTTTGTCATGCTTGTAGTGTTTGTTGTATAGATTGTATTGAAAAAATTGTTTGGGCTTTTGATTTAATCTTCCAACTCCTACTCTACAAGTGAACTGGCTGACTTATCTACATTTTTCAGATGTAACTTGAACAAACAAGCCCCGTCACTAACAGAAGGACAAGGTGGAAACAGTATGCCCCTTCGGCTTCGCCGCGGGGCATAATAAATTTAATTCAATGTAAGTAACTAATGAAATTTACCCGTGTAGGGCGTTCCAAAACCTGTCGCAAATCTTCAGCAATTCTCAAAAATCCCCTCACGACAATGCCCGAGAGAACTGATAGCACCCTCTCACTTCTTCATCTACGAGAAAATCTAAAGGGCTTGTTTGATCTCGGAATAATCTTTTTCGCCAAAGAGCTCTTCGGTTTTCACTTTGGACGAGAAGCAATAACGCCATTTTTATGGCATAAGTCAGTGAGTTACGCCGTATTCCGATACTTGATAACTTTCGTGAAATCCGTCCTAAAGTTGTTGCACAACTTACGTAATAAGATGTGGCGCAAATAGAGTTAGCCATAAACTAAAGTTTCGTGAAATCGGCTGCTGGACAACTGCCAATAACCAGCCTTATAACTAGATCGTAGGCAGCAGCTGCATTGCTTCGACGATGCGCCAAGATGGGCAGCTCCACCTTGACAAAAAGAGACATGATAATGCTCTTCAGATTCACATCAATCTGTGTGGGGAGAAGCGGAGCAATGATGGAAGATCAGATGCGTAACTATGGCACCATTGCAGAGTCCACTTCTACAGGAGTTGCCATTGACCAGTGAATTACCGATTCGTCTGCTGATGCCAGGTTGATTGGTGGCCAAATAATAATGAAAAAACAAGGTTAATATTGCCCTTCGACAGGTATTATTCTTTGTCCTGCTAGGTACCCATCTACCCTCCCCTATACGTGAATAGAAACCTTGGGGGTTGCCAGTTTAGTTGCCGACAGCATTGGTAGATTGCCGAACAAGGTTAACAGGTTCTACCTACCCATGTGAGTAATGTTGAGAATGTAGGTGTGCACGACTGAAATTCTCTGTTTTTCTTAAGAATCATCATCCTTAAATATATTTCTATACCGGTACATTGTAGCGGCGCACGGCCGCATGGTGGCGTATTCACCAAGCTGGAATTTGGGGTGAAGCCACTTTCAGCACACACGCTGTCTCGGTACCTGGGGATCCAGGCACGACAGCGCACGCGCGTGTATCATAGTTGTATGATATGCAGAAAAACGGCAGAAATTGTGTTCACGCTCTTTTTAGGCAACTCTGATCTGAAGCTGGTTGGAGAAAGACGTACGACATTGAACACCACATAAATAACCGTTGTTAAATAAAACGATTATATAATGTGAGTACATGTATTGATTTAGGGGAACAAAGTTAAACAGAATCAGAAGAGACACGAAGAGAAGTTCGTCCTTGTGTCCGTGTCACATTTATTCTATTCATTGTATCGTGCTGTTTGTCTTGTTTCTACTTACGTTAATTTTAGCCTAATCGTCTCAAAGAAAATTGCCCTTAGACCGCGAGGACTCGTTACAACATTAATTAAGGCCAGTTTTTGTGTGTCAGTTTTTATAGCCTTTGTGGTGCAAATGAAATAAGTCAGAAATTTCTGCACGGTGAAACTAGCAGTCTCTTGACATCAGAGCATTACATGAACATTTTGGAGATTTACGGGCGCATTGTAGCCACTTGCTCCAACTAATTTTGAGCCCTGATGCAGGTATAAAAAGGCATTCTTATGACATTATCTATCTTTATATTAACAATTAAAAACATTTTTTTCAGTGGAAATACGATACATGCAACGACTGGCATTGATGCACGGTATACCACATCCTGAAAAAAATCTCAACTGACCGACCCATCTTTTTTTGGCGATGTTACCGAAAACACTGGGTTTTTTTGGGGGGGGGTCTTATCAAAAAAATGTATTTTTAGTACATAGGCCTTCATCATAGTGTAATTAAAAATATTAATCCAGTTTGAATAAATAAAATTTAAGAAAACCAGTGATTTCAACAACACATGTACATGTGCCTCTGATTACATGCCGATATGACCATGAAAATGTTGAAAACTTGTATGGTTTGCATTTGCCTTTATTTGAAATCCCTGCACACCTGTGAGAGTGTAAATATTTACAGAGACAATGCAAGTGTTCCCCTTCACACCAAGAAAATGTAATTCCACCTGGAGCATTTCCGTGGAACATTTTTGAAAGGAAAAAAATCATGCAATTTATAAACTTACCAGTTGCTGAATATCTTTTGCTATATATCCCACAATACTGATATCTTTATCATGGAGGGGAAACTGAACAATCTTCATGCGAGCAGCTGCAAAGAAAACAACCATAACGTTTGTTACAAACTGTACATGTATTTCAAGTTCAAGTTGTTGAGGCTCACCACTAAATAAATTCATATAAGTCTAATTACATGTACAGTAAACTCCGGCTAAGTCGGCACTCTCGTGACCCGAGAATTTGTGACGACTTACACGAATGCCGACATCTGCTTGAAGTCGTCATTTTGCCAACTTACATGAATGGTCTTTTGCACCCATGATTCATTGCATTGATTGGCTTCGATTTACCCTGGAATATCTCCATAATGCTCGAGTTGAATCCAGCAAATTAATCCTCGAATTGTATCATCACGTTTGGGGTATTGATAGTGGAGACCACGATACATATGTACGTGCACAGTAACGAATTAAATGCGTGCGTGGTCCGGTATATACCACGCATGCATTGACTGCAGCATTAGTCACTCAATAAGATGACCCCAAAATGGACAGAGCGCATGCGTACAGCCGAGAGGGGGTACTGGTATTGATATGCTCACGATGCATATGCGATGTATGCAGTAGGACACCCTTTTTCGACACCGATGCATGCAGCAATCATGGGCCATGTGAAACCACTCATCACTTTGCCAACTGCAGTACAGGAAGTCGATACTAATGCATGATTTGTTAAATGCTGACTTACACAAAGGATTTTGTAATGTTTTTATGAAAAGGGGTCCGAGAATAACACGACGACTTGAGCGAAATGGCGACTTATAAAAGCCGACTTAGAAATTAAAAATTTAATGGAAGTGTATTACGGACAATCGGGACTTTAGTCAGTCGGCTGACTTGAGCGATTTGACCAGTTGTACAATGTCGGTTTAGCCGGAGTTTGCTGTATGTAACAACCACACGGTGTTGGGCTATTGATTACCGCAATCTTCGCCACACACATCAACTCAAAATGCATGTTTGACTTTGTCAACTTGCAGCTAGAGGGCGCTCTAACATTTTATGATGTCACCTGTAACATTGTTGTAAAGTACAGCCTAGGCAGGGACTCACATCGTTGAAAGTAAGTTCACATCTTTTACAAATTTCAAAATGTAAGGCACTTTCAGTTTCAACCGGTATGTGATTTTGCACTTAATTTTCGGTAGTCATACATGTATTTGGCACCTAAGAGATTTTGTCACAATGCATGTATTCAGGGGTTTTTCTTAGCCGTCGCCCGCTCGCCAAATGCGAGTGAAAACAGCGGCGGGCGAGTCAAAACCCTCCTCTCAGTAGTCCGACGGGCGAGTCAAAAAACTGTTTAAAAAAAATTAAAATAATGAAGTTTTCCCTACAGTATTTTTCAATCAATCTAAATAAAAAGTTAAGGTTGATACAACACATGAATACATTTGCCACGCCGACTGAAATAAAAACATCGGTAGTTCGAATTCGTATCACTCCATGTATATTCGCAGTGCGCTGTGCACTGAAATCCCAACGACGAACTTGAGGCGAATCAACGTGTATATGCCATTACACAATGTGCACACATGCAGCGCACGTGATTTACTTCGTCTGCAGTCCACACGGTACGGACGTACGTACGTTAACATCATATTTGTATCATACAACGTGGTGAGGAGAAAACTTTCATGACAGTTTCACTGCCAAAACTTGTGCCCGAAGGGATTCTTGGGATGATTTCTTGAACACTATCAAACGAATGTACCGAAAAGATGAGGACAATATGAGATTCGAGGGGCCTATTTTGAATGTAAAGACTAGTGAATGTAAAGTGGACCGTGCTCCGGAAAATGTTATGGATTGACGTGACCAGCGTAAGTTCGTGGGTCGCCCGCCCGCAGCGCTTCTTGGCTAGGCACGCTGATTGCACCATTCTTCACTAGAAATGCATGGTGCACGCGAGAGATGTTTTTTTGAAAATACTGGCCTTCTCACTCATTTTCAAACAAGTTAAAACAGTTCAGTTACTAACTTGGTAAACTCCCATTAATACCACGACTGTGTGCAATGTTTTCTTGTTCCTCAAGATAACGCTTTTTTAGTTCATGTTTTATCAAAACATGTCGGAAATAGAACACCTAAAGCCTTAAGTATGGAACGAAGCACACTGCATAAATTTTGATTATAACTTCTCCCCCTATTTGATTCCTGTTAATTAAAGCATTGCTCTATGTTAAAGCATGGACGATTAAAGAAACATTGACTTCACTTAAAAAGGAACTACATGCAATATTATGTACATGATTAAGATAATTGCCGATTGTATTCATATTGCATAATTTATTATCAAAAATTTTATCAAAATTCTTATGGTGATTTGATTGAAAGTTACTATTAAAACATGTGGGCTAGTGAAAAAGGTTGCGGGCCAGTGAAAAATCTGGTTTACTGGCCCGGCCGGCCAGTAAAGGAAAAAGTTAAGGGAAACCCCTGATGTATTTTGACAAAATCCTTTATACTTGACAAACACATGTCTGCTATTTCTCATGGTTAAAAGATTTTACAAGTTACACTGTTCTGTGTAGTAATTTATGCTGTCTCCAACAGCTTTCATAGTTGTTGGCATATTTGCTCTGTTTTACACTCAATCAGCCCCCCTCTGTGGCAATTACAACACTTACATAAAAACTTTGCGGGTATTGCAATAGCCGGGATCCTGAGCAGGATCCTAGCATTAATTATTCATAGATTGGACCAATCACAGCCAAGAGTTTTGACCAATCACAACCAAGAGTATTGACCAATCAGACGAAAGATTGAAGCACTAATAATATGCAACAGTGAAATAATGCATGCACAAGTGCATGTACTGTGCAGGGTGACCGTTTTAGCAGATTTTCAGCTAACTTTGACAGATTTTTTGTTCAAACAAATTGACAGAAAGGATTTTTCTGGCAGAATTCTGCAAAAATGGTTATTTGACAGAAAAAAAAATAGCAAATTTGAAAAAAAAATGGAACATTTGTTTAAAAATGCTTCAACTTTTCAAACAAACCCTTGCATAATGGGACGTACAGGTTGGCTGGTGTAGGTGCTGAGGTTCTCTGGGAACTGGACTTCGTCCTGAGGCAACCGCGTTTTGCCTGAAATTTACGCAATACCTTCATAACATCTTAATGTGACTATACATTGTTTATAATGTAATTTGAACGTTAATTAAGGCAATACGACGATATCTGCATGTGATTTTAAGTGTTTATAGTATATTTCAAGTAATTCTGGGGAATTTGGCAGATTTTTGATAATGTAACAGATTTTTGAAGTGTATCTAGAAGAATTTGGCAAAGACCTTACGGTCACCCTGGTACTGTGTGGGTCATTCTGTCCACTCACAGCACTTTGAGCAAGCTGTTTCAATTTGTTTTCAGAGCAAGCTGGATCAATTTGTTTGTGAAACAGCAGGAGTGTTTATAGTTGTTCAGTTTCAGGATTTGTTGAATAATAACCTTGGATGTCTGCAATTCCCAAGTCCAGTGGAATTAAAGGGAATATACAACATTTGCAAACATTAAAAAATGAGATGATCACATTATCATGAAATACCTTACTGGATTGTTTGGGAATGACAGTCAAAAGCATCCTGTAAAATCATGGCTCCTGGTGTGCTGACTGCTGACAAGGGCGGATCCAGAACACAATTTTTGGGGGGGCCAAAAAAATTTTTGGTCCCCCAAAAAAGTGGGTCAAAAAAATTACAGCGTGGGAAAATTTTTTGGATTCTAGATGCTCTGTGGTGCGATCTGAGGCAATTTCTGACCACTTTAACCAATGTTTTTTGAGGAAAAGATGGTGGTGTACTCATTGCCTGCCTTTATTGCGATGTCACATAAAAAAAACAAACAATTGGTTTCGTTTTTGGGGGGGGCCATGGCCCCCTTTGGCCCCCCCCTGGATCCGCCCTTGACTGCTGACATTTTCAAGAAATTTCCAACGCTGGTCGGCCGACCAGCGTTGAAGAAAACTTCTTTTTTTTCTTCAAAAACTGCTCCTACTTTTTCAAATTTAGTAATTTCCGTTTTCTTTGCAATTAATCACACACCTGTGAAGGGGTTCAAACCTGCTAGACTGATTCTCTGACCTAACAATTCCCCAATGTCTACATATTGCTCTGATTCATCGTAAGTGGGGTCAGGGAACCAGACTACAAGAACATGATTGATTTTCTTGGTTTTTCCAGCATCTATCAGCCCAAAACGTGAAACAACTCAGTTCAACAATATTTGCTATAACATACTATTCTTTCAAATCCATTTACTTCTGAAAATTACAGCAAAAGCAAATGTTGTACATCATCATTTGGGTGGATTGATAATCTTGGAACTTTGACATTTGATATGTTTTGGTCGTCTCAGATTTCATTAAATCCAATAGAATTATTTGACAGTTAGGAGCTCACTAGCCCAAGGCATGGCCAAAGTCATCAACATCAGGTTATCCTGCTGTTCTTCAGGCAGAATGCACTTCACTTTCTGTCAATTACCCCAGCTCCAGTTCCAGTAATGGACCCATACACTGCAACTCAGAAATTTCACACGATGCTTTAATAGAAAATGTACGTCGATCCCAGTACAGTCAGCCTCCATCAAAATATTGCGCGGCGCAACCGCAATCTCGGACTTGAAATCAAGTCTAGAGTGAGGCTGGTTTCTGGCAATCGAGTCTAACGCTGATTTGTATACATAAGTACATGTACATGTGAATTCGCCGCGTGTGGCGACTATTTGTCAACCACTGGTCGATTTTGCCTGGTACCCAATATGTTTTTCGTGCATAGGTTACCATGGAAATCGACACGTGGTTGTCAAATAGTCAGTCGCGGCTCGCCGCTCAAACGTGGTGGTGAGAAACACCTCCACGATCGCAATGCTTTTGACGGCGGTCTTCATAATCTTCTTTTAATTAAATAAAAGGTTTTTATTTATATTCTATTTCATTGATCATTTCTATATCCATTTACATGTAATACTTCATAAACTGTTCACTTGTAGATGTAACAATTACATAAATACAATTGTCAATTATA